CTTTGATGATATTATCATAGTGTTCAATAAATGCATGAAGGAACTCTCCTCCTTACATATACACTCAAACAGTTGGTACCAGAAAGGTGTTGTGTTTGGTTGCTTCAAAAGCATGACTATAGGACACTGCACATCGCGATTCCTTTGCATAAATGTAGGCAAATACCTTGTAAACCTTTTTATTATTCAAAAAAACATGCCAAAAGTGTGCATATTAAAGAAGACTACTTTCTCAATCTATGCTGCGTATTATTTTAGTGTGTCATGTGTTTCCCTAATGGGAGAAAAATCCCCGGGTCTGCTTTCTGCTGGTCTCCTTTCCTGGAGCGGGACCCTCGTCCTGCATTTTAATCTGAGGCCAAACACAGCTTCCTCCGCGTATCCGCCGCATATGCTCACATGCTCACTGAACACACAGCAACTCTGCAAACACACATACAGCACACAACTTCCTTTCCATATTGGAGATGCACTGTTCACTGCACAAACTCAATTTAAATAACATGCACAATGCATCACTTCATAAAATGTTGATAATGTTGATGAGAGACATTTCTATTCACAATCCCTGCAGCCAAATACATTAACTCATGAGACATGGAAGTTATATTTCCTTGTTGTAATCCCCCTTTTTTCCCCTGTGATCTTCTTCTTGTTTTGTTAATATGAACATCCACTCGCTGCATAGTTCAACTGACATTATCTCCCATCCTAAATGTTTTTCCCGGGTTCCGCTATGGCCGCGGTGCCACCCTGCGCTATCATTAGCGGCGGCTGTTGACCCGGTTCGCTGTTGACGAAGCAGCTGTAGTTATTTCTGTGTCGCTGTTGTTTAGTCTGCTTGAGCGGCGAAGACGCTCCTTGTTCGCCTGGACGCTCATCCGGGACAATTTTGAGGTATTCCTGCTGAAACCGTTGCCTCAGGGTGGTTTCTGGATGGCGTCCGGAATTCCTGGACTTGTCCTGGTTCTGCGAGCAGACGGTTGCTGCCGCATGGGAACACCGTCCCTGAATCTGGAAAATCAATACAGGATAATGCAGACTTTCCACGCAGAGGGACTTAGAGGGAAAATGAAAGTCTCTTCCTGGCTCTTGTTGGCCGCAGCTCACTTCATGATTTATGGACTCTCGTGATCCAATGCAGCAAATGTGTGCTGCATTGCATCGCCAAGTTGACAATGGGTGAATCACGTCCAGTTAAAGTGCTCTGAGTGGTCGACACACGAGTACATTCCATTCACCATTTTAAAACTAAGCTAAAAGTCTCTTTCCATCCATCGGCCTGATACAGATGTTCTCTTTGAACCCCACTTGTCACATTCCTTATGAATTAGCATGTTTTTGAATCGCTGGGAAAAGTCTTACCTGCTTCTAGCTTCACCACTGGTTGGTTAGTAAGACCATAATCAAATATCCTCCCCCCCAAAAAAGAAGCCAGCTGCACGATAATAATCAACAAGTACACCTATTGCATGTTTTGCACTTACTCTTTCTGGTTGATTTAGTTTTCTTATGTTTCTTGTTTTATGATTTATTTCCAAGAAACCTATCAACCCTTTTCTGGCACTTAAGGAATGTGTGTTTGTTTTTTCGCGCGAGACAGAGTGTGTCTGCAGGTGATCCATCTCGCTGGTGACAAAGACGGACACGGTCACAGAGGGAGGGGGAAACTGTATATGAATGACCCCTCAACACACAAACCACTGCCATCAGTCACAGTCTCTCTGAGCCTGAGTCTCAATCTATCGGACTGTGTGTCCTCCGTCTAGTCCTGAAATGTGCTGCGTAGGTTACCACAGAAACAGCGTTCACTTCACTGACAAACTGATTTCACATGCACGCGCACACACACACACGCACACACGCTGCTCACAGCAACAACACCCAACCTGCAAACCCCCTCCCTCCAGAAGAGGTTTAAGTGGACTAGGACAGTTTTTATTTCTGATTACACACACACACTGAAACATGTTAATAGGCTGTAGTATTTTAAGTAGGAGTTTACAATACTGTTGGAAAGCAAGTGATTGTGTGTGTGTGTGTGTGTGTGTGTGTGTGTGTGTGTGTGTGTGTGTGTGTGTGTGTGTGTGTGTGTGTGTGTGTGTGTGTGTGTGTGTGTGTGTGTGTGTGTGCGCGCTCACCAGTAAAAGTGTAGTATGTATGAACCCTGTGCCCCGCGTCACTGTTTGCGTTGCCCAAGTGTTGTGTGAAATGGAGTGGGTTTGTTCACAATAAGTATTTTTCTTCCCTCCCTCCCTCCCTCACTGTCCTTCCACATGCCGCCCGGCCTTGGTGATGAATGCCTCGCGGTCGTCATAGCGACCACCACGGCGCTGTGGCTCCCGATCATCTTGGCAACTCGGCAAACTCTCAAACCATCAACTGTCCCTCCGGGTGCTTGGCGTGAGTTTGGGAGGGTGCTTGTCCGTGTGTAGCTGGTTGTGAGCCGTGAAAAGGAGAGAGGCCTGTTGGGAAATCTGCTGTCTGAGTTGAGGGAGCGAGGAGAGTTGGGGCAGCGGCGAGGAGCACCGGCCGCCCTGCGTGGTGGAAAATGTATTATTGACTTGACTGCAAGCAGTGCAGAAAGTAGTCAGTCAATTCACATTTTGATTGTTGAGCAGAGCCCCTCTATGAAGTCTGGGAACTTTCTGATGGACAGATTAAAGAAAAGATTAGAGATTGTTTTGAATGTGGAACATTGGATCCTACATTACCCATCATGCAACTTAACAGCATCTTTCACTAATTGTTGATGCATTGCTTTAACAAATGAGACTCAATGAATGCATTACTATTCACACCACTATGTTTCCAGTCTTTATGCTGAGCTACATTAACAACCTCCTGGCTCTAGCTTCTTAGCGTACTTTTTTATAGTAAAAAATTATAAAGATTTAATTAAAATTAATTAAAATTAAAATAATTTTAAAGACTATTGATGGCCAATGATGAATTATAATCAACACATAATATCCATAAGGATCATCACTGGAGTACTTGCCACAAGCTGCTGTAGTCGGGGATCTGATAAGAACTCTTGGCGGAAGTTTTCTTTTCGCTGTGTCAAATCTGTAGTCAAAACAACCAACTAATCTGTGCTTTATATCACATCTTTTCTACTCAGCTCTCGTCTCCCTTATCTCTACCGCTCACGGGGAGGACTCGGTACGTCACAACCAAAAAAGAGGAACAATATTGTTGTTCTGGTCGCACGCGGGAGGGCATTGAGATGAAGCCGCGCGCCCGCGTTATCTTTCTTCATGGCGGCTCGTGCTGCGCAGACCAAGGGAGTTTAGCGCCTCCCGTCTAGAGGTCCCCATTGTGTGTGTGTGTGTGTGTGGAGCGAGGGGGGTTAGAGGTGGTAGGGGGAGGGTGACGCTATTTGGATTGGGAGTGGAGATTTAGGTGCTTCGTGGGTCAACGGACCCTCAGACCTTTAGAGGGAGGGGGTCGTGCTTCTCCAGGTCGTGTGTGTGTGTGTGTGTGTGTGTGTGTGTCTGTGTGTGTGCGAGAGAGGGGAGAGTCCAGCGCGCTCTCTATTATTTTATGGTGAGGAGAAAGGGGGGAGGGGGGGGGGGGTGTAAGCAGGACCTCATGCTGCTGGGACCAGTGACTGTCTTTAAAGAGCGGCGACAAATAGTCGACACATTTGCTTTAGTGCGTGAGACTAAGGGCCCATTGTCTCACGTGTGTCTTCTTTACGGGACGCTTAGCCGAACCAGAAGTGATTTCTGAAATGAAACGAGTTTAGAGGACAGGCTTCCAACCCTTTGGATGGGGACCCCTGTGAGGGGTCCTTAGATAAGAACAAAGATATTTCTGTTAAGCATTTGTTTATTTTGCCAAACATTCCTCTCATTCTTCTGGGGTTTTTTACTAACAAATTATTGATTGATTTTAGTTCCACTCACAAATAAACAATTCCTAGCTCAGTAGAATGTTGCTTTGGGAAATCAAGTATCAAAAGTTGGCATTCAATACATATTATTAGTGAACCAGCCACAGCGTTGTGTCAAATGCCGTGGCGGTCTTCTTCCTCCTCCGTACGCCGTGATTTCTCCACTCCCGATTGTTCGCTTCCAGCATTCTAATGTCGAAATTTCATTCACAAATGCTCGAGCACAATCTGTAGCTTGAACAAACAGCCCGAGAGCAAATGCCCGGAGGCCTTCGGGGTGCTGCCATCGTGGATGGAGGTGTAACATTACACATTTGCATGCGCCGCCCATGCTGTGGTGATGCCGGTTGGAAAGCTGGCGGTAATCTCTTTCAGTCTCAAGCCCATGACAAAATAAACCCCCCGATGACGACGATGACTGTGAAGCGGAATTGAACATAAGAGTGGGCCTTAAAACACAGATCAGCACTGAGAAGTTTGCCACGTTTTCTTAAATACTATTTGTGTAAAAGCTTGTTAAACATGTGTATTTCACCGAGTAAGGGATTGAAAAAAAAAAAAAGAAAAAGAAAAGCCCAAACCAGTCCGGCCTCCCTCTGATGTGGGACACAATGAGCGGTGCAGTGGACGAGGAGCTTTTGTTTGAGCCGGCTCTATTGATCAGCCGTAACACCCCCTCAGCCCCCCTCACCTCCTTGTAAAGTGTGTATACGTGTGTGATCTCTGGAGCCGTGCGCCAACAGCAGCGGTTCAGACGCACACACCCTGCAAGCGTTACGAACCCAGCTTAAAAGTTAGATTTTGGGGGGGGCGAAGAAGAGGCCGTAATGAAACGGGGGAGATGAGGTGGGGGATAAAACAAAGAGTGGGACACAAAAGAGGAGGAGGGAACTCCCAGCTCCTTGTAATTTGCTGCGGGGAGCGGAGGGAAGAGGAGTCAAGGGGAGGGGAATACCCAGCAGGGAGGGAGCAGTAGAGAGCAGAGGCCATTCACTCTGACACACACACACACACACACACACACACACACACACACACACATGAACACTTTTAGACACACACACACGCATGCGGTGGATGTGTTGCCGAAGGAGAGAGGGAGGGAGAAAGAGAGGCATTCAGACAGAGGAGATCCTTAGCAAACTGAAGTGAGAGAAAGAAAAGACATCAGCCAGGGGAGTGTGTTTGTGTGTGTGTGCGCCCGTGTGTGTGTGTGTGTGTGTGTCTGTGCGTGCAGGAGAAAACCTGAGAGTGTTTGCTCCAGTGTGTATCTTGGTGGAGCGGACTGCACGTTTGCTCCCAGAAGAAAGGACTCGCAATGATTTAGGAAACCTAAGGAAATCCGTCCAGGCTGCTGGGAAACAGGGTTGGGAATACTTTGGATATGTGACCTGCTCAAGAAATCCTGTTTTTCCTTTTTTAAATCTAAAAAACAAACAAAAACTGATTCAGTCTCATTGCTGGTAAATTGGAGCCAGAAAACCACAATGCCTACCGGTAAGAAGCAACCTTTCTTCTTCTACTTCAAATAGGTTCAATGATGTTTCCCAGCATGTGCAGATTATAGACACAAGTTTCTCTCCTCAGGTGAAGTGATTCAGTGATGTGGTGGGACTAGATTTTTATGTCAAAAGCACTGCATGTCTACAAGCCTCAGGCTCAAATTGTGGAGAATAAAATATGCTGTGTTTGCACGCCTTAATTCACGAAGCTACCGATGATCAGGATAAGAAGTATGACATCACAACCAAACAACAAAAATCTAAGTCAAAAAGTAGTCCTCTTCAAGGGGCGTCTGCTCAAACTGCAGACGGCAACTTATAAACTAAAGGTCCGCTTACAAGCCGGTGATGTCTGTTTGCCTCAGCGGCGCTTTTGGGCGGTGTGTGTGTGTGTGTGTGTGTGTGTGTGTGATATCTTTTCCTCGGCTGACAGCGCTGTGTGAAGTGCCTTTGCAGCGTCCGTCTCTCTGCAGTACAGCTGTAGGAACAAGGTGCGCGCCCCCCCCCCCCCCCCCCCCGAAGGGAAAAAGAGCCGGGTTTTCTTAACGCGGGGGGAAAAATCTCAATGTAACTGCGGCGTTTTGGGCACCCCGGCTTTTGGAGAAAAGGGGGACATCACGGGAACCCTGGGAGCCGCCAGAAAACTTAGTGGTTTGTTTCGCCTGAACATTTGCTGAAAAAAAGGGATAAAAACCCCTAGAACGTTTCTGCCTCCTCCGGCCGGCACATGTGTCGGTTTCCTTTTGCCGGGTGTGGGTTTGACCGAGTGTTGAGATGCCATTCTGCAGCCGGTGACCCAAATTAGAGCCTTGAGGGCAGCAGTTGGGGGGGGGGGCTACAAATGGGGATAGAGGGGAGCCGAACAGAGAGGAGGGGGCGGATGGGGGAGTGGGGGGGTAATGACTGTTTAGACCAAAGTCTTTGGTTCAGGGGTGCCGGAGACAATGCACCCCTCCGTCCCTCTCCTCCTCCCCCCCTCCCCCTCCAACGCGCACACACACACACACACACTCAAAGCTGTCGAGGGTGGACGGGTGCAGAATGGCGGGGGCAGATCCCCTTTGGAGTAATCTGCCTAATATAGAAAACTAATTAATAGTTCTTTAATCTCACGCTGCTGTGTCCACACAGGACTGAACGGCAAGAGACTGAAGCGGGGGCCGAGTCCAGCTGCGAGCTTTGGGCCGCAATCCAATCGGGTCAAATAACCGGGCTAGTGTGTCACGGGCCGAGGGAGGGCCGAGGGGCGCGTTCAGCCAGGGCGTCAGTGTCCGGAAATATAAACGGGGTGTATATAAGTTTGCAGGTGGACATTTTTTCCCCACAGAGGCTGAACGCCGCTGCCGTGGGCCAAACCCATGCGGCACATTCCTCGCTGATGTCCAACAACAAACAGAGGAGCTCTTAACTCGTCGCTGGGATTTAACTTGCGTCTCCGAAACACAACCTGAACATGAGGGGATGATCTTTTGTACATCAAATACGTGAATGCCACCGCCTGCGATGTTTCAATGCTTTTAGTTTATTGTGAGAAAAAAGCCTTTTGTTGCTAATTAGCCTCCCAGCTGTGTGTGCACGTGTGTGTGTGTGTGTGTGTGTGTGTGTTTACTTTGAGCATGTTTTGTGGGGCAATGAAAGCCACAGGAGTCTATTAAGTCACACCTCTAAACCTCGGTCTTAACCAGTCTCAGCGTGTGTCGAGGTGGTTCAAACGCAGCCTTGACATCGTCTTGTGCAGCTTGTTTTGCAGAGAAATTGGTCTCTTTTTCCCTCTACATCTGCAAACATCTGCATTATAATGCACAACCCAGCCAGCGCCGGTTGGCGCGCCTCCCGTCTCCCGATGCGATCCTCCTCGTCCCTCCTTCTCGCCCGCCTCCGCCCGCCCTCTTTTTCTCTCTCGGCTCCTCGTTTGGCTGCGCTGTGAAATTGTGAGTGACACTTTAAGGTCCTTAGCGTCAGTTGAGATCAGGACTGCGTCTCTATCAGAATCGGGGACTGACCTCTAAGTGGACGCAGCGGAAGATGTGAGGCCTTGCCCTAAAAAAAAAAAACGTGCTTTGTTCAGCTTGCGGGGAACAAATTCCCTCAGAAGCGTGTTTTTTGTATTTACTTCTTAAGGATGACGAGATCATTCGGCAGAATACTTCTCAGGGTTAATGTACAACAAAAGACTGGATTCAAAATGAGACCGAGCAAGTGGGAAATGGAAAAGAAAATAAGCAAGGGAGTGGGTGTTTGACCTTTTTGAACTTTCTTCTCATCTGATCTTCCTACTTTCATTCCTTCAGGTCCTCCCCTCCACATTTCTCACTCTCTCCCAGTCGCACATGTCCTCCTCCCACCACGTTTCTCCATGACGTTGTCTTTTTAAATTGCAGCGCTCCCAAGATGCTGCCAAAGCGAAGGCAAAAAACAATGGAGTACAACTTGTACTGAGACGCTTTTGCTTCCAACCTTCCACAAAAACAATCCATCCTCCTTCTTGATGGAAGACTGTAAAAAGGCAGCAATGAGCTGCATGGAATTGAACTCAGTTGCCATTTGGTCTTCATAGCGTAAACAAGAACACAAACAGACAAACAAAGTTAATTAAGTGTGTGGTCACGTCCTGACTTGGACAAAAGCTTTGGTATTTTCCTTCAAATGTTGGTTATTTGCAGACAAATATCACAGCAGTTTTATTCCAACTCATTTAGTTGTTGTGCTCCTCAGCGGCCAACAGTTGAAGGCAGATTGAACTCTTGTTTTATTAAATGTCTGCGGACAGATATGGCATCATTTCATATGGTCTGCTTAAGTTTTCTGGCTTTGCATTGTTTGTTTTTTTAAATCTGTTTCATTTTTCAAGTCACCCTTCCATTTTAATTCATCTTTAAATTTTGGAGGAAATCTTTTAATTGAACATAATTTAGCATTCAGCCAGAAATGGAAACAACTTAAAGTTTTTTTTAAATGCTCCCATAAGATACACATTGTGCGTTGTGATATCCTCATAGATATGTGCATGAGTGTTAAATGTGTTCACATTGCATTGACGTTCTACTGTATAGCTGATTACATTCATATTAAATATATGCATGGTATAATTTGACCCCATAGGGATATTTAGTGGAGCTCATGTGACACTGCAAACATTGAGGGACTTCATGCTGCCAAAAACATATTTATAACATTAACCGAAATAGAAATAGAAGAAATGGGAAGAAATGAATGGCATATGGAAAAATAAGATGGCAAGACTCAAAGCAGACGCTGGATGCAACTGTTATTGCTGGATAAGGCATGAGGAGTGAGCATATGGAGGGGTCGCTACGTGATGTCTTTACCTCTCCTCACTGATGCCATGTTATAAGTGACCGTGTTGCTCTCGCTCTTCTTTTCGTGCTCATAGTGAATTTATTTAGTGCACAAATCGAGTGGTTTTACGGCTTTGTAGCGCAGTGAGTACCTGTGGATCGTGCTTTGGCTGCTGTTGCTTGCGGGTAGTTTTGTTGGATGCACAATGGGCACCAAGAGGAAAGCTCTCGTAGCGTCACTTCTCATTTGCCAGATTAGAGTTACATCAAATTGGATTGTGTAAGACCGCTAAAACGAACCCTTCCCTTCATTTTGGACCACCAATGCAGCACAAGTAGAACTGCAAGTAAATCCACGGCCAATGTAGCGTAATTCAAACCGTGGCATTGCTCACTAGACTCATTCCTTCTCTCCGAATGGACCCTGAACTGCACCCTCTCTTCCGCGACAGTCCTCCCTGCAACACTGCCTTTCACAGTCCGGCTGAATCCAATGTGAGCCTTGAGAGTGAGCCAAACCGGGGGGTATTTTCCAAAGTTGCATTCCTTTCAGTATGAAATCCTCTCTTTGATTTTACAGGGCTGTGTTTTATTGCTGCAGTAATACTCCCTGGATGTCGCATGTGGGCTTTGTTGCTGGATTCACATTGTGAGTTTATTACACGTGTTTTAAACCCAACACTGAGATTGTTTTCTTTCGGACTTTTTAGCGCTCATCTCCAAATGACACGATGCCTTCAAATATTTAAACTTGCCTGTGGTTTAGATGTCTACGTGGGGCGTTCACATGCCCATTACGAAACACTCTGAGGGCCGTTTGTGCTGTTCGAGCTACCAGTGATGAGCGCCGGGGGCCGTAAAGAGGCCACGGTGCCGGTGACGGCTGTTTGCTGACCACTCCAGCATAGAGAGCCCTTCAAGGGACCGTAAAGAGCCCGGCTGAAGTGCACGCTTTAAGTGCAGCGCGAGTCATTAAACACGGCTGGACCAGCAGTGAGCCTTGTCGGATTGACTGCAGCCTCGTACATCACATACGTGCACATGTTTGAATGAGCAGACACCGATGATCATTGGCTCTGGCTTGATTGCTGTTTCAGTCTCAGCTGTAATTGTGCAGTTCCTTTTTCCTTTTATTATTAAAGTGCCAAAAGATCTCCCCATAAAAGTCAATTTAGTGGCTTTTAATTGTGTCACAGCAGGTTGAGATTTTAACATTTATGTTCCCATGACAAATTGGGAACTTTTTCTCTCTGCAAATACGGGGGTTTGATATGACCAGAAGCTCCAGAAGAGCCACTAAATGGACTTTGTGTTGAGATTTTTTCGGTCAAATACTAATTCAAGATCAATACATTGTAATCGGATCACGTAAAAGTAATCGACTCTTCAACTCTTTTGTCTTTGTCGTGTTAAATGAAAGCCGGAGAGATTGAAGCCAAGTTGTTCAGGCGCTCACGGATTCACTCTCTCTCTCTGGTATCTCACAGTATCCTAATCCTTGGTGCACACACACACACACACACACACACACACACACACGCACACAGAGGAGAATCAGTCCCAACCTGCATGCTAAGGAGCATAATTAGAGATCATTTACAAGGATCAGGTTGAACATAATCTGGACAGCAGGTAACTGTGTGTGCGTGTGTGTGTGTGTGTCTGTGTGCATGAGCCAATTCACCCAGGAAACGGCCGGGGAGTGCCCCAAACATGTAGCTGGAAGGTGAGGAAGGAGGGGCTAGGTAAACACAAGATGGAGCAATCTCCCTTTGTTGTGTTCGAGTTTCATGGCAAACGGAAACACAGTTTGTGTGTGTGTGTGTGTGTGTGTGTGTAGGTGTGCGCGCACTCATGTTGCACTTGTACACTCTCTGCCGTCTCATATCTATCTAAAATTGATGGTGTTGCACCATTAAGTTATTAGCTCAGTTAGCGTTATCTTTGGGGCGATAAACTGAATGCGTTATGTGTGAAACTCACACGCGCGCACACACACAGAATAGATGTAATAGTGTTAATAGTAATAGTGATACGGGTGGATATATTACAAATTTGTCAAAGAAAATGTCAAGTTACCTATTAATGTTCCGGTGTGTGATTTAATAAAAGCCTTTGTTTATTGTGTACGCTAACTTGAAAGCAGTGTATCGCTCATCCAAAAACCAAGACTGTGTTGTTTTCACTCACCGGATTCCTTCTCCTCTCTGATCTGTAATTGTTAAAAGAAAGTGGGTCAGGATTGGGAGCGCCGATTTTTGTACGGATGGACACGCATGCTTGGTGAACCCGTTCCAAACATGTCTGAGGAAACAGATTTCGTGCCATCTCAGTTTTTGGATGCTCTAATTCCTTCCTGTTTTTCCGCATAGCAGTGAAGCGAGAAGCGGCCGCTGGTGTAGAAAGTGGAGCCTTCAAAAAAACGCGGTAAAAGGAGAGTGAACATTATACTCCAAGCCGGCACAGTACATCATTATTTTGTCTGCGATCATGTCAGCAGATTGAAAGGATACAAATCGCCTTTTGAAAACTCAGTGAATTCCTGGGAAAAGAGTCCAACCCATCTTCTCGTACAACATCGTCATGGCTGCCACTATCAAACCTGTGATCTCTCCATCACAGACCGTTCAAACGGTCGAGCCGCCTGCTAAGGTGCTTTCAAAAGAGGCGTCGCCATGTCATAAAAAGAGCTCCATGGCACCTATTTGAAAGGTGAGAGATTCTTTGAGCGTGTTCTCGGTTTCACGTTTCATGTCTTTCGTGCCTGTGATCTTGGATGCTTTGAAGCGAGGCGGGGCGAGGGTTAGCCTCGGCCCGGCGTTGCTGGCGGCGAGAGAGAGCGACGCTGCCCTGTGAGGCATCGGATCCAAATGTTGCCACAACAGCAGTGCTGCCGGCTCACCGGCGTCTCGGGCTTTGATGATGAAGACTGGTGTCAAACTCCCCGCTGAGCTGGTATGAGGCCCCCTCGTGCCGTCCTCCCCTTTGCTTTTCCGCTCTGTTGATTTTTCTCCCGGTTCTTCCCATCAAAGCTGGCGTTTCTGTTTGAGCCGGACCTTGGAAAACATCGAGGCGAAACCCGGAGGGCCGTCTGATACGCTGCATGTGGGGGGGCCTTGGGAGCCGGTAAACGCTTTTGAGCAGCGGCACCGGCCTGGCGCAAAATAGACTCCTGTAGACTCACACACACACACACTTGTCTCTCCTCCACCCTAATAGGGCTCTCATTCATTGCCTCAGAGTGGAGTGTTCTCAGCATTACACTCCTAATCCTGTCATTAAACTTAATTTTTTTTCTGTCCTGCTGCAAAAAGGCTCTCTCTCTCACACACAGCTTCGCCGTTTTCAGAAATATATTAGAAATCAAAGGTTTCTTTGAGTAGAAATCTGGGAGGGCTGGTGGTCCTTGTATGGAGGGTGGTCAGTCAAACTGTGGTCAGCTAGAATGTCAGGAATTGGGATGCTAAACAGAATAACACTGTAGGAATATGAAATTGGTGTTGTAGCTGTTGGGAGTTACATACAGCGAGTAGTTTGGGGAAAACAAATAACTCAGTCGGTGCCTGTCTCATGTGTGAACTTGATTTTAATTTTACCGTTACGGAGTCATATAGTTACGATCAAACAAATGCAACTTTGCCTAAAAGACCTAATCTAACTTTTCTAAATATTTATGTTCGATACCGAGCAGGACACGGGCGCTGTTCTTTTGGTCTTGTTCTTCTGGTCGTAACGTCATTGTTGCAAACGGCAACAACATCTATCCTGTATGCAAGCGTTTCCTTGGAGCCACTGAGACAACAATTCTTTGGTCCAGACCACGGTATTCGTTGTTTTCTGTAATTATACACAGACAATATGATGAACATGACAACCGTGAATTTCCAAATGCAGTAGGCCGAGTCATTGTTTAGGGGGTATTCAGACTAACAATAGCCCGACATCTCAAGGGGCTGCTTTGGTGTGGTGGCGTGTTTCTTTGGAATAGAACAGACAGAATAGAAAATGTTTTTTTGCAGGAGCTTTTTAGATATTTGAAGTATCGTTATACATTTGTCATGTGTTTGACTGACCACAACATTTCCCCCTCTAGACGATTACAACTACCTGCCTGATGCGCTTCCTCCTCTCCCTGAAGTCCCGGACCCCGGCTCGGCCCTGAGCTCCGTTGACATTCCGGCCCGCTGCCTCCGCAACCCGGCCTTCCGCCACACCTCCTCGCGCTACTGCTCCGCCCTCAGCATGGACTCCTCTCCCGACAGCGCCGAGCGGCCCATCAGCTACAGCTCTACCTCCTCCTCAGCATCGTCCCGCGACAGTCACTGCTCACTGGGGAGCCGCTCCGCCCTGGTCGCCGCCCCGCACTGCAACCCGGCGCAGCCGGACCGGGACTCTGGGGCGATCTGGCTGGAGCTTGTCCCCGCCCGGCAGCTGGGGTGCCGGGAGGAAGACGACAGAAATGAGGGACGGGTGGAAACGGGGCGGGGGCAAGGGAGACAGGGACAGACTCTGACGGAACATTCGGAGCCCGAGGTTGGTCCAGATGGACCAGGAGAGCAAACGGGTCAGGTGCAGGGACCCAGGACGTATGTGGACCGGGTGGTGCAGGAGATACTGGACACAGAGAGAACCTACGTCCAGGACCTGCGCAGCATTGTGGAGGTGAGGAACCATCACCTGCTATTACATGTTCATCACACTGTAAGGATTTACATCTTGAGTTCAATGCTTTATTAGCATTTTTCATTTAGCTTGAAGAAACTTATTATTAAGGAAATAAAAATCTTTCAAAGGTCCCGGTTTTGAAATGTTTCCCGGCTCACCCGGTTGACGCCCAAGAAGCGGTGGAACCCCAGGAGATGCTGCTCTGTGTCACCTGATCCTTTAGCTTTTTGTGCTTTCCCCTCGCGTGTGTGTGACACGCACAACCGGGAAACCGGCGACACAACGAGGCCCCGTGCGCTTGCATGAGGGGTGTGGCCAAGTTACACGACACCGGTATGACTGCACACAGAGGCACACGGTTCTGCTTTAAACACATAGACAATGCTGTATGCACACACTCAAATAAATACCCGCTTTGAACTGCAAGGGCACATGTGGTCTCCAGTCAGTGCATTAAGCGGCTTTGTTAAGATTTGGGTTTGGTGGTTTGCATCAAAGGTCGATCTCCTTTCTCTTTTTTCCTGTGTTCGGCTCTTTTTGGTTCTCTGTAAAGCTGCGGTGCATACATGTGATGTGTGTTTGGCCTTTACATTCTGCAGCTTAATTTGGATTGATCGTGGTGTAGAATGACAACACGTTTGCGTGCAAATTGCTTTGTTTTGCATTTGTGTATAAGCCGGCATGTGTTGGAGCTTTGCCCACCTTTTTCCATAATCCTCTATCGTAATAGTGCTTCCTCCCCCCCTCTAGGCGGCCTGTTTATGGACCTGTGTGTGTGTGTGTGTGTGTGTGTGTGTGTGTGTGTGTGTGTGTGTGTGTGTGTATGTGTGCATTTGGACTTGTTTGTTATTTGGGGTTAAAAAGGTCTGTTGTCAAAAGAGAGCAGGAAACTCTTATTCCCAAGAGACGGGATGAATAGCGGGAGTGAGGTATGGTCTTTGTCACCCCTGATTGATGTCCCGACCTGTCCCGCTCCTCTATTCCTCCCCTCCTCGGGACTGGAAGGTGAGGGAAGTGGGTAGAGATAGAGGAAGGTATGTGAAGGGATTTAGCTCTGAGATAACAATGTCTAAAGTAGGTTAAGAAAACACTGAACAGAGCTTAGGAGCTGTTCTTAATAACTCTCCGCTCCGCGGACCACCTATTGCCACTATGGAAGCAGACCACCCAGCCCTGCAAGACCACACTTACACGGCAAGACAGCTAATTCTTTACCATTACTTTAGAGAAAGACACGTGCATTTAGCTTTTCTTCACTCCTTTTAATGACGGTTCCAGTGAGTGCACAGAGGGGACGGATGGATGCAAAGATTGTATCTGTGCGACCTGCGCTTTTAACAAGGCGGTTTACACACAGTGTGGAAAAAAAGTTGCGCATTTATTATCTATTATCAGCAGCGTCCCATACGAGCCGGTGCTGCAGCCCTTTGCCCGTCCTGCTTCCTGCAGTAGAAGAGGGTGTGACGGCTTTAACACAAATATTTACCCGGACTCCCAAGGGCTCACCTGTGCTTCGTCTGTCACCGGCGGTGTTGTGGTCCAGGCGCACACACACACGCACACGCACACACAGGCGCCTGACCATGTGTAAGCTGTGAGCGTGAATCACAGTACATGTCAGCATCACGCGGTTTGCAGGTTGGCGGATGAGTGGATGTTTCCAGGGAGGCCACGAAGGCTCCGCGCACTGCAACTTCACTGAACAAGTGCAAATGTGACAACAGGCTTGCAGGCACAGACAACCCCCCCCCCCAAATCGTCTATCTTATTTGCTTTTCTACTTGCCCGTCTTTCCCTAAGTTGCAGTGTGTTGAACCCTCGGGGCCGCTGCTCACTTCTGTGCTCGGCAGTGTTTGTTAGTTCTGCGTGATCGCCCCCCCCCCCTTCGGCCCTATCAGTGTGCGTAATGAGGCCAGACTGTCACCCACAAACAACCTCAAAGACAAAGCTCTGATCCCTCTTTCCCTACTCCTCCCCATGTGTTTTCCCCTTAACGCATCACCAAGCCATTTGAAGCTGGTCAGGAATTTGGAAATTCAGGTTGAAGGGAACATCTCTGGACTGGCAGAGACATTGAAAGTAGTTAGATTTGGATGGAATAACTTGACCATACATATACTTGGGGTAAGGGGTCGGTTTTGGTGTTCAGGTGTGTGTGTGTGTGTTTGTGCTTGTGCTTGTGCTTGCGGAGGATAACGGTTAATGTGAGAAAACGTTTTTACATGTGATGTCTGATGGGAGTACGTAGGTGTGTGTGTGTGTGTGTGTGTGTGTGTGTGTGTGTGTGTGTGTGTGTGTGTGTGTGTGTGTGTGTGTGTGTGTGTGTGTGTTGAGTCAGGCTTTGGCTGAATGTGATGATTGAACGGGTCAGGCCAAGTCAGGTGTGTGACCCTGCGGCTAATAAAGCATCACATTACACATTATCTCCGACAGAAGACAAATTCTTAACATGACCCTTTGACTTGACCCCCAAACATCTCCACCAACACGTCCGTTAGTCTTATTCTGTTACTCCGATTCTCAAAACCCAAATCTTGGCCTAAAGGTCCGGTTTCACCTTTTAACCTCAAAACCTCCACGATGGCTTACATCTGTCAGTCTACGGTCCTTGTTTTAGCTGAGATAAGTAAAGTCTTTCACTTGTTTACATCTTGCATTGCAATTTTTCCAACCAAACTAATTCAAATCACTGCTCAGGATCAGCTACTGTAGTAATACTGAGAATGATGGACCGGATTTCAGACAATGAGACCCGGGAGCGAGCAGAAAGAGGTTATCTTTATCCTCATACGTCTCTTACAAGGTGTGTGTGTGTGTGTGTGTGTGTTGAAATGACCGGCGTGGGTGGGCATTCAGAGCAGCCCAGTACTTTTCTCAGTGTCGTAACGTCTGTCCTGCCCAGTTGCAGACTGTGGTCTGTTTCGAAAACTATTTCTTCACTGGATGCTTCCTCCCTTTCCCTCTACCTGCACCTGCTCTCAATTTGAAATGTAAATACAGCCCCCCATGACATGGAGGGGGGGGGGGGGGGGCGGACGTGCGTGCTCTGCTGTTTCAAGTGTTCTTCCTGTGTAACTGTTTTCGTGATTTATTGACTCAAGGCCGCGATGACGCCGACATTATTGAGGGCAAAGATTATATGTGAAACAATAACGGCAAATGAATTACCGTTGGAAGGAATGAAGTGCAATGAGAATGACTTCCAGCCCGCAGCGGTCGTGTAAAACAATCGGTGCCTTTGCTGCTGGCTACTGCTCTGTCATGACTCTGTCCTCTCTCTCCCCACAGGACTACCTGGAGTGTATCAGCAATCAGTCTCAGCTGGCCTTGATTTCTGAGGATAAAGGCTCCCTCTTTGGCAACATCCGGGACATCTACCACTTTAACAGGTACAACCTACTCACGGGGCCTGAGACTTAACGCTGCGTTTACATTGTAACGGATTGAAAGATCGGTAGAGACCCCCTTTAAAGACCCGCTAAAGTCTAATCAGGCTTGATTATCTTAAACCTCAGACTTTTCACTGGTATTTTGAGTAGTGAAACTGGGGGGACCACCTGTTAGTTTCTGCAGGAGCATTGTGGCTGTCAGGTGTGTGCGTGTGTGTGTGTGTGTGTGTGTGTGTGTGTGTGTGTGTGTGTGTGTGTGTGTGTGTGTGTCTTAGTGTGACACCGTCTGCATATTTGTCCCCACTGGCACCGGTCTAAGCCGAGGTAGCAAGCTGAGCATCCCGGTGCGTCGCCACCCACGGTGGTCCGGGGACGCGAACGCGCACACGCTCTTTTCTCTGCTCCGATCCATTTCTCAGCTGTCATGCTCAGACAAACTTGCCAGTAAAAGGAAACATAAAAGCAGCTTAAGCCGTTCGCGATGACCTCATACTTCAGCCATGAGACAATAACTCCAAAAGTGGGTTTTTGTTTTTTCTTCCTCAGTGTGCAAAGACACACACGTACACAACTACACACACAGGAGCTGCCTGTATGAACTCATGGCATTTTCTCATCTATTCAGGGCCAAGTACCATAAGACGTTGTTTCTGTCAAGGCTAATGAATCGTGGGAGAGAAGTTTAAATTCTTATGTGTCAAGATGCCGTAAACTGTGCGTGCAGATTTCTGCCATCAAATACGTATTTTTATTTGAGCACTTTGTTTGTTTCAGGGATCTTCTTCATGATCTTGAGAAGTGCAACGCTGACCCCGTTGCCATCGCAGACTGCTTCGTATCCAAGGTAACGACAGCCGCCTCCCTGCTGATGTTTTCTTTAGTTGGTGCTTTTTACTTAAATGAGGTCTTTTTGCATTGTTGTACTTCTTCTACTGTCTGTAGAACTGTCTAAACTTCTCTCCTGCTGGTTGACCAGACAGCTGGACACACGGACACAAACGGGACAGGAAATGAGAAATAGGCCATGCACTGTTCTCAGCGATTAGTTGGGGACGCTGCATGAAGCACGTTTATTGATGCTAGCAGCGTCGTTTGAAGGGCTGGAGTGTGAAGTTTAAGTGCAGCAGGGCGGTGGGAGAAAGGAAAAGTCAAGAGGAATTTTAAGGACCGTCCAAATATATAATCACCTTTTTTACTAGAGGGGGATAATAGCAGTGCTTCATCAAGAAAAAGTGGACTCAGCAACTGTTGTCAAAGTATTACTGGCGACTCGGTCAGGGTGTTTCAGCTTTTCTTCCACTCGTCAAACCCCCCCCTCGGCCCCCATGCCCTTAAAAAAAGAAATGATTGCCTGATTATCTCCCATGACTATGTGCTGCATTCCAGGACTTCCTCTTTGACATTTTACATTGCCTCCCTACCCGACTGCAATTACACCTGATACCACGGAGCAACTGTCTGACCGTTAATGAATAAATCAAGCTGCAGTCTGCATCACTGACTCCCTAAATAGAGCTGCCGTTGTTTAGACCGAGCGGTTTTATAGCAGCCCACTCTGAATAATTAGCCGAGATCCATAAACAAAACCAGCACCACGACGTCTCATGATGGACCGATCGCAGGGCATCACTAACCTGGAAAAAGGACTTCTCGCCAGTAGAGCGTTTATTACCCCCAAAAAAGAGTATGGCTTCCTCATAGCCCGGGGTTACATTGGGACAAAGCCAGATGACAATGAGGTCAAATCACATCCTCCTGGCTCTGATTACCTTCCTCTCAAGAGGCTGTCCATTAAAACCATTAGAAGTGCTGCTCCATGACACCTGCCTCTGTTGTGTTTCTTGTGTTTTATTGTTGCAAATAAAAAATAATCTCAACGCAGGTTTCATTGGTTTCTCAGGAGACCAATTCAATTTTAAACTGAAGCTGTTCGTCAGGAGTGCAAGTTTGTGCGACCTCCCGTTCTCACACACTGACTTCTGGTGACAGGGCTGTAACGAGAGCTCCTTTGTCTTTCTGACTGTTCGTCATGGCTGCTAATACCCAGAAAAAACACTAAAACCTCTACTGGAGTTGGTACTTGTGCAGTCTGAGCAGCCAAGAATCACAACTTAGCTCCTTGTTTGAAGAGGAGACCCATCTTAGTTGTAAATCTCCACCTCCACCTCTCAGATAATTGGCTTTCTATCCTCATGTTCCTCTCCGTTCCACCAAGTCTTATCTGCGCTATGTGATGAGTAAGCCTTTAATGCGTTTTATGGGTTGCTACATGCTGACTGAAGCGCAGAGAGCTCCATTACAACTAGAACAAGAGGCTTTTTTTTCTTTCACCCGGGGTGATTCTGTTGTGTTCATTGCTTAGCCGATGACTCAGTGTGACCGGTCCAGTCCTGACAGCTCAACAATAACTGCTGAAGTATGACTTTCTCATTAAAAATGATCCGACTCACAGAGTCGGGATTAGTAGCCACTGCACCAAAAATATAAAAACATCTCTCTATATAAGTTGTGTCACGTATTGGAGCCAAAACTGTCACTTACGGCATTTGGATTTGATGATTATACGATTTAGCTGAGCGTGTATATATTTCCAAAAGGGACGTATATCATAGATGTGAGCTATTTCAGGGACGGCTGGTTTTCCTGGTTGGGTTCAAAGAGTGTGTGCTCACATGTGCGCCTTAATGACAAAGTCAGTGCGTGCAAATGTGCATGCTTGGCAGAAATTTGTACTGCAAAGAAGCATTTATGTATCTAGTGGTCTTGTGTCCATGCTCCAGAGGGATATTAAGAGTGTGTATTAGGAGTGCGTTTGGTATGTGTATCGTAGGAAGTCGACGGTGGCCCATCTGGTTGTGTTTAGCACTGGTCTGTGGCGGCAGACTACTGGAGACACGGAGGAGAGCTCTGCTCTTCAATTTAGGACGGTTCCCACGAAGCACCTCGGGCGGACAGATCATGACAGTCTGTCTGTGTGCGTGTGTGTGTGTGTGTGTGTTTGTGCATTCGGTACATTTTGGTGGGAGCCGCTGTTTGAACCTTACCTACAGCAAGAAACATCAATACACACACACACACACACACTATATGCAAAGTGCAACTTGAACACTATGAATTGCATGTTAGGAAATATGTGGTATTGTCCACACCGCTCTGTGTGTGTGCGAGTAAGTGTCATCTGCCATGTGTGTTTATTACGCTTCCTCAGTGGCACCCGCATCCTGCGACCCCCAAGTGTTTATGGACACAAACAGTTCAATTACAACTTTCATTATGTAATCAAAAGGGATACCGAAAAGTTAGAAAAATCACCCCAAAAAGATCCCCGAGATTTTGAGAGCAGTGAGAAAAACTTTGATCAGTTAAGTTGTCTCTGGTGTCTCTGATGTTCAGAGAGGCATGCGGGATGGGAAGGTCTCAATTAAAGGGGCGGCGATGAAGTATGATGGGATATATAATCGGAGCGCTTGCGGGCCATCAGGATCAACACAGACTTAAAGGCCAGGACGCAGGCTAATCATAAACCAAAGGCTTGACTTTCAAGTAGTAGCAGTGAGTGGAGGAGAGGGGATGCCTTGTCTGAGGGCTCGGAGTGTGCCGGCCCGTAAACATGAAATAACTGGGCCAGTCATCAAAACTGCACCGGACCACTGCCTCGTTTTACTACCGGGAGCTTTGTTTGCTCGGTTTGATTACAGGGCACATGCTCTTTATGTGACTGAAGCCAACTTCTTCTTGCAGGGTTCAATGTGTTCAAGTCATTTTCATGTGATATTAAGATTCAATGGCAGACTCTCTTTGGTTGTGTAATCCTGAGGATACGGAGACATCTACATTTGTACAAGTAGACAAACTCACTTAACTCCGGAGTCTTATTTCATGTTACCTAAATGCATCAACTAATTTGCCCTGTTGCGTTTTTTGCAGAGTGAAGAGTTCCACATTTACACCCAGTACTGCACCAACTACCCACGGTAAGACAGCCCGCCGAAGTGTGTGCGCTCATGTCATGCCGTCATCCTGTCTTGATCTCACCTTCCCAGCGTCTCACGTGGCTCCATTGTGTTTCTCGATCAATGCCTAACCCCCCCCCCTGTCGATGAACTGACACACTCCATAGAAATCGGTTCAGCGGGAGTCAAAGTGTCTGCTTGCAGTTGTGCCTCAGGGTCTCCCTCCCTCCCTCCGTCCTACGAGCCCATTTCCTCCATCGTGTTCTTGCTCACAGTTGACAGGCTGACTGACGGGGGTATTATTCTTATCATATTCGATGTCTGTTAATGTTTTTTTGTGTGCAAGTGGGGTCCTGTGGGAGGAATAACAAGTGTGAAAAGCGATGCTACTCCATGCCAAGATAAACCGCGCCATCCGAACACACTGGTGTTTGATCAGAAAGGCACGAGGGCGAAGAAACTAGTCAAGCGCTAATGATGACTAATTGGGTGCTGATTGTGTGTGTGTGTGTGTGTGTGTGTGTGTGTGTGACTTTGCGTGTTTGAGCGGGCTATTGTCAGCTGTTTGAGATAGACCGTCTCCCACATCCACACCACAGCTGGTGACCCTAACCAAGGTCACACACGACAGTCACACTCACACGGGAGACGCGCGCACACACTCGCTCACACACACCCCCTCACATACAGAGGCCTACAGATGCATCCTGGTCTAAGGTCGGGTTTCCTCCAGAACAATGCGAGGCCTGTGTGGGGCTTCACTGGAATTCAGGCGTGCACGTGCATGCGCACACACATGCAAAAGACACAGAAAGAAAGTTTGGGGTAAATCCCAGCTGACATTCATTTTTTACAACGTGCATATGTATGCACACACTCACACAAACGCATCTCCACACACAAAGGTTCAATTTTGTTTGCAAAAGAAAGTCTCTTTCTTTCTTTCCAACTCCAGGAACCAGTATGTTTTATAATTCTGTTGTTTTAGCAGAACATGTAATATGAGGATTGAGATCTGAGGCTAAAATATTGCATTTAAAAATGGATAATATCTTCCTTTTTCTACATTTTTGAAGAAATCTGATGAAATACAACTGGCTTTGAATTGAACATTTAATGTAGAGGTTCATAGGGAGGGATATTATAATGGTCAGTATGAAAACATTACAAAAACTGTGTTCAATTTACGTATGAGTATTGCTTTAAGGTAATGACTTGATTTCACTTAAATTCCTTGTGATTTTTTTTTACATTTTAAAATACAGACTGTATCAGCTTGCATTGTTTATGTAATATATAGTCCTCATTTAGATGTCACAAAAGCACTCACATTCATATTGTATCAATTTCAGCGCGAGACCTAATCTTTAATATCCACTCATCGTGATTTTTATCTTTTCCTTACATACATTACAACTTCATCATGTCGAATTAAGGTTTGCTACACATCGCTGACGTTAACCGCCCACCTCTCTGTCTCCACAGGTCGGTGGCCGTGCTAACCGAGTGCATGAGGAACAAGGCGTTGGCCAAGTTTCTTCGCGAGCGCCAGGAATCTCTGAAGCACTCCCTGCCCCTGGGCTCCTACCTGCTCAAGCCGGTGCAGAGGATCCTCAAGTACCACCTACTGCTGCATGTACGTGTGTCTCTCGCTCTGCAAAAAACACTTACGCGCAAACAATTACTCTTCACCATCCGGAAACGCGAGCGCAGGCACACACTTGTCAGTCCCGCACACACACAAACCATGTTTTTTCGGTCATACCAAAATCAAATGGATTTCTGACTCGGCCCCCGATGAAAATCTCCTTTGGAGAAGCCAAATGTTTAGACATATGGTGCACGGTATGTATGTTCTGGTGTACGTTCATTGCATTACAGTAAACGCGTGAGTGTGTGTTTGTGTGCAGAAAAACACACACGCACACGGTTGGCTGTATGAGTGTACTCCTGCGCACATGCTGACTCCCAGCATTGTGTGTGTGTGTGTGTGTGTGTGTGTGTGTTGTCCGTGCAGGAGATAGCCAACCGCATGGAGAAGGACACGGAGACCTACGAGGTTGTGCAGGAAGCCATAGACACCATGCAGAGAGTGGCCTGGCACATCAACGACATGAAGAGGAAACACGAGCACGCCGTCAGGTTGCAGGTACGATGAGCACAAAACAAGAAAGGTGCCCGATACAAAAGGTCGCAGCTTATTTGGGATCCTTTTGTGTACAAATGGGTGTTGTCCCACTTGCCCGATACCCCTCATGAATCCAATAAATGTTGGGCGTGTGGTCTCTTCCGTGACGTTTCCAGCAAACATCTCTCATTATTCGGATAACTAAAACCGACGGGACACTTTAGAACCTCTTAGAGGAGCCAAATCGTTTTGGTTGTTGTGCAGAACCGTTAAGTCCTGCTTTGAATCGGCCCTGGATCTGATCCTCCCCGCGTCTCATACGCAAGTCACTGCGCTTTCCACTCATTGCTAATGATGGCCTTGCCTAAGGAGGGCACATAAAAGGGAAGCTTGTTTCTTTCATCAGCTGGGAGCCAGAAGGGTAGGATGAGCGCAGGAATGTGTGTGGAAGCGTTCACTCCACAAACGAATTGGCTCGATAGAAATTCCATTGTTGTGGTTTGAGCCTCTTCATTATTATTTAGCATGTATTTTTTCTATTTTCCTTCTGTTACGATTCATTTCCGTAGCACAACAGAAATCCTCTCTTCTCATCCTTGCTTTTTCTTAAGAATTCCCCCCACAAAAGTTTATCTGTTAATGTTGATAAGTTGTTTTAATTCGTCACGTTGTTCAGCGCCTTGTAATTGTGTTTGTAAAATGTTCTATCTGCAGGAAATCCAGAGCTTGCTGACCAACTGGAAAGGCCCTGATCTCATCGGCTATGGAGAGCTGGTTCTGGAAGGAACATTTCGTCTGCAGCGAGCCAAAAACGAGAGAACTCTCTTTCTGTTTGACAAGCTTCTGCTCATCACCAAGAAACGAGAAGAAACCTACACGTACAAGGCCCACATACTGGTCAGTCATGCTCGAAGCGTGACACGTCCCAAAATGTTTCACCCTCAGTAAAAGGGGTTTTTAACTTCTTCCTGCCTCTTTTCTGCAGTGCTGTAACCTGATGCTTGTGGAAGTTATTCCAAAAGAACCACTGAGTTTCAGTGTGTTTCACTACAAGAACCCCAAACTTCAGCACACGGTCCAGGTACGGCAACATCGTCACAAAATTCAAAATGTGAATTTATGTGAACGTTTCATTTGAACCGTGAAGCGGCAAGCAACATTGAGCAAGAATGCCGTTTAGAGAGCAGGAAGATTATTCGCAGCTGCCCAGGCTCACCTCAACGAGTTGCACAGACATGTCGAGTGTTTAGGGGCTAAGGGCGGCCATTGTTGTTACCTAACCACTGTGTTTTGAAACAGCCCAGAAAAATACGAGATAATTGGCATGACGTAAGAAAGCCATGTTTCAAATGGTTCCCCACCTCCCAGCTGCCTTTTTAGGACTGTGCGTCTGATATTATATTCCCTCTGATGTCTTGTGCTCTGCCCTCAGGCCAAATCCCAACCAGACAAGCGCATGTGGATCTTGCACCTCAAGAGGCTCATACTTGAAAACCATCCGGCCAAAATACCTGCCAAGGTAAGAGCGTCTCGTCCCGTGACAGCTCCCGCTCTTTTTCGCCAATGGCGTGAACTCACACTTTGAGTGGGATGGTTTGGAAATGTCACTCCACACATCCTTGCTCCTTTATCTTCATATTTCATTCCCCCACCACTTTTCCTTAAGTGGCAAACTTCCGCCCACCTGTTGAGAGGGGACTGTGATGTGGCGCCATCTAGTGTCAACATCTATGTTCATTCAAAATCCAACCTGTTGAACTCTCATTTTATAACTTTCTTTCTAGGCTAAGCAAGCAATTTTGGAGATGGATGCTATGCGTAAGTAACTGTTTAAAGACACCCATATTTTATAATATACTTCTAATTTGTGTATGTTTGCTTTTGCCACATTTAAACATGTTAAATGCATTTCAATAATTATATAATTTATCCAGATCATCCTGGGTTTCATTATAACCCTGATGGAGACAAGAAAGATTCCCATCAAACCAAGGATGGTCCAACCCCTCGTAGAGGACGCAGGAAAGGTAAGACGTGAGAGATATTTCAAAAGTAACACGGCAAGGTTCAACTCATAAAATGAACCAATATTCTGTTTGACCCTCCAGAGCCTCTATCCAAGTTATTGAAGCATGCAAAGCAGAATGCTGCCAATACAGAAGGCGAAAAGGTCAGTGATTAAAGAAGCATGAGGTCACTCGCTCACATTCAAGCAAACGTTGTTAGAGTCAAAATGCTGAAAAAATATTTTCCTCTCCAGCGAATAAGTCTGGGTGCCACGCTGCTGTCGCCAATGTCCCAGCTGGCTTTGGGCACCATCGGTCGCAGCCGCAGCCTCATCAACCAATCTCAGGAGTCGCTGGACCCGGGAGATCACTATGACCACAGTGACAGAGAAGAAGAGCCACATCAGCAAGATGCTGACGATGAAGATGACAGTGGCCTGGTGAGCTTAAAGCCAATGATTGATTTTCTTCGCACATACACCTCCAGGATTCCTCTCCTCTGTCTGGCTTTCAAACATGATGTTAATGCCGAAAACTCCTTATTCAGGGAGGTGGAAAGCGGCTGCGAGTCCCCGGCAAAAGCAGTAGGAAGAGGCTGAACCCTCAGGCATCCGTGGACAGTATAGAACAGTGGAAATCCTTTAATATGAGCACTTCAGACTTACAGGTACAAATAACAAGTACACTATGGTGATTTAATCTATCACTATCTTGATGTTTTTAAACATAGCCACAACAACCTCTTCTTTACTTTTTACCACAGAAAGCTAGAGAATCCCTGGTGAGGGAAGGAAGTCACCACCCGCCGCTCGTCAGGACACGTCGTGTAACGGAGGAGCCTCCAGACCCCGCAACTCCCTCCGTAGTAGTCACAGAAAGTGACCATTCCGTGAGGAACATCTGGGCCGACCACCGTGCTCGCAGAGCCATGTTCCCCACCCGCCAGAGAACCATGCAGCCGGAGGATGAGGACGAGGACATCTATCAGATGTTTGTCCCGACAGAGCCGAGCGGACCAGAACCAGAGGTGCCCTCGGAGAGGTCAGCGGCCACCTCCTCACCCGCGGCGGCTCGGCCCTGCAGCTGGCACGTCGAACAGCTCCCCACTGTGCAGATTGACCCTCCGACTGATGGGGGCCAAGTCCTGCGGAGGGCGAGCAGTGCAGGGGAGAAGGCGACGGAGGTTCGACAGAGTCCTGGCGATGACCAGGCAGGTAACGGAAATTTGGAAGTGATTCACACCGAGTCCTCCAGCAATGAGATCTCTGGATCATCCTCGGCGGAGCAGCTGACGATAGACGATATTGAAAATGTGTATGACAACATCAGCTATGAGGACCTTAAGAACATGGGCCTTGTCAGAAGGGACCCTGAGGAAAGCCTGCCACGGAAAGACACTGCTGCAGATGCACAGGGTCTCCAGGGGCAGGCGTCAAGGGCAAGGACTGCTCCAGAGGCTCCTGTGGTCTCAGAGCCTGCGATCGAACCAGACATTTCCCCAGTGAGCAGTCAGCCCGTCACACATGAGGGTAGGCCTGTTGGGACGTTGGAGCTCAAGATAGTAGAGGAGAATGTCTATGACACTGTCTGCTTCAGGGAGCCCCCGTCAACAGTGCTGAAAGAAATACATGAATGTGATAACCTGAAACAAGAGAGAGACAGTCTGCTGGCCTCTGAACAAGACCTCACTGGAAGCATTGGGGCGTTTGTCTCCGAGGAGAGCCTGCACTTTGGGGAGGACGAAGGACCAGACCCGTCCCATCGTGTGCCATGTCACTCCGAGCCGGATTATTCCTCCTCGTCTGCCTCCGAGACTTTCTCTCGCCGCTCACAGAAAGGGGATAAGATGTCGGAGCAGGTCGACGAGATCTGGAACGATCTGGAAAACTACATCAAGAACAATGAGAAGAAAGCCGACAAACATCCCGCGGCTTTCCCCGTCAGTGCCGGCGAGTCGCCTAAGAAGGCGAAAACAGCCAAAGTCAAAGACCGCCATCCAAAGAGCCCCCCTGTAGTTAGTCCTCAAGCGGCCAGCCCTCAAACCAAAAGTCCCCCAACACATCAGCCTAAACCCCCACCTGTCACCTCCATGCCGTCATTCACCATCCCAGTCATCAACCTCCAGGAACCTTCAAGTGAAGGCACCAGTGTAGAAGAAATCCAGAGCCCTGCTCCTACAACTCACCCACTTCCTGTCACCCCAGACCCCCCCCCTGGCACAGTGAAGAGCATCCGCAACAGACTGGCACGCCTCAGCAGCGGCAGCTTCCGACTGGAGGACGACGACCTGGTGGAGCTTCCTCCACGAAACATCCCTCAAAAGGACCTTCCCCTCAAGGACCTTCATAGCTTGTTCCCAGGGGAGCTGGCGGGTCTGGACTCACCCTTGGCTTCCTCCTCTCTACTGTTGGCGGAGTCCGCGGACTTGGATCTGATTGAAAAATCAAAGAACCGGGTGTTCCTGATGGCCCGGCAGTACAGCCAGAAGATCAAGAAAGCCAACCAGTTGCTGCGCATGAGGAGCATGGACCCTGGAGACGCTTGTTGTCGGACGAGAACTGAGAAGAAGCAGAAAGACCTGGCAGCCATCTTGGAAGAAAAGAAACAAGGGGGCACCGCCATAGGTAAACAACAATAAACAAATGATTTAGCGCCAGAATTAATGGTAGTTGTGACAAACTGACTAACTGACTCACGCCTTTTGTGCTCCCACTCCAGGTGCAAGGATAGCAGAGTACTCGCATCTCTACGACCAGGTGATGTTTAAGGATCCTCCCGGGCAAACCGGGCCACATCACGGCCATCCAGGGCTGTTGTCTTCTCCGTCCATGCCCGAGACGTCCCTGGAGGAGGAGTGGCTCCACTCCACTTACAGCAACGGAGAGCTGGTCAGCTTCATGTCCTCGTCCGGCGAGTTGGATGATGCCCGAGCGTCTTCTACGCCGCAGCGCAGACTCACCTCCGCCTGCTCCACCCCGTCCTTCAGGACCTCCCCGTCATCTCCGACTAACCCGGCGTCCCAGAGGTGGAGCTCGTGCATGTCGGCGCCCAGCGAAGAAGAGGAGCACGTGTACAGCTCCATCAAGAGACACCCTTCCTTCAACGCTCCGTCTTCCCCCTCCTTAAAGTCCCCCCCGTCCAGTCACTGTCAGTCACTCGGCTCCCTGGGCAGCAAGCGGCAGGATGCCGAGCAGCCCGGACTCAGATGTGCCGTGCCCACAGACAGACTCCATGGCCCCAGTCTGGGTCGCACAGGTCGCCAGAGCAGCCTCCCAGAGCGCCCGACCCCAGGACAGTCCGAGCTCACTTTGCGTGACGGTCAGCAAGTGGTGGTCCTGAACCGGGCTTCTGCTCTGAGCATACTCGGCGCCACCCAGAACTACATGGCCAACTTCAAGGACGACGGGGAAGACGACGATGACTACGTGGAGATCCGCTCCGAGGACGAAGGCGAGCGCGAGCAGGACAGGTTGGCGGGGCGAAGCGACGGCTCGGCGGCCCTTTCGGATCCCAACCGGGGTCCCGTCCACTCCCAGAGTCTCCCGTGCACACCGGCGCGCTCCTGCGACCCGCTGAGGTCTCTGGAGCGCAAGCAACTGGCGAAGTACCTGTGGAACGAGCCGCAGCAGAGCCAACCCAAAATCGTCCAGTCTTTGAGGGAGAAGTTCCAGTGTCTGAGCTCCAGTAGCTTTGCCTGAGTCTTTACGACGAACAAAAGCCAAATGCATTAAACATAAACAAACGTACAGCATATAGCAACAAAACGGACACAGCTGCTTTGCCCTGAGGGGCATCAGCCGTTCTACATACAAATCCGCAGACGTAACACATCAGCAGCGTAGTTCAGAATGTTTTTTCTTGTTTGTGACAACTTACTGTTACAGAATTTCAATGTAAACATAAACAATAGGTTGCTGTTAATAGTCAAAAGCCTGCAAGTGAGTTGCCTCAGCACTTCAAAAGGCTCTCAGTCATTTGTAAAGGCATTCATCGTGACTGAATGGGTTTCAATAGTCAAAGGAATTCAAACTCTTTAATTGCTTTACGCGTGCGCCTTGTAGAGGCAATTGGAGTCGTATTAATTGGTTCTGCTGGAGAACTTTGTGTCAAACTGTTGTACAGTTACAGTAGTTCAGGATGTCTGTTACCAATTGTAAGGAATAAAATCTTGCCTGTGCCCGTTGTCTCAAACCGAAGTAGAAGCATTAACAACCTGATGACCTTTGGCGGATCTTAACTCACAACGCTGGGAGTACTTCTTTCTCTCAATCTGCTGTCAAAGTTATATTTACTGCTTTCTCAGCACTAATTGGTCTTAACTTGTTTAGGAGCCGTGTTTTTAATTGTGCTTAAAGGGATAAAATTGCTCTGAACAAGCAGCTTTACAAAGTTGTAGTTGAAATTCGCTACACTGGCTTGTGTCACTTTTAACAGCTTTTTAGCAATAATTGTTACAAAAGCGATGCAGCTGTAAAGAAAACATGTTGGTTAACATCCAGTAGGTTAAGTATAACTTCACTTAGACCCGTAGGTTTAAGACCTGTTAAATTTTTGGGACTTGCTTCCACCTGCCATCTTTTTCATCAATAGGTTATCATGCTTTAAAATCAAGAGAAGTTTAGATAATCTATAAGAAACCGTAGGACTTCAGATTTGTTTTGAATCTGGGAGTACTTCAGAGAGGTTTTCACGTGTTGCGGTCTGGAGGTGTTCATCATGTAAAAAGTGCATTTCAACGAGTTCTTTTTGCTGTTTTTTTTCAAATCTCACATGTTTTAACGTTTTGTTTTTCGAGGGACCAGGAAGGAGAACACAGTCAGTTAAAACACTACAGTACTGCATTTGATGTATAATTTGTGTTTTTCTCACATGGATAGTCTTTACTTTGTTAACGTCGGGACACTTCCAGCGGTCACACTACTGAAATTGCATCTTCAGTCACAGAAAGAAAGTCACAGTGATCTCAATCACTTTAATAATGTTCATGCGACACAATTGTTTTCTCTCCCAGGAATCACCACACACTGTCTTTACAAAAAACACTAAAGTTGTCCTATTTATTTAAATGCAGAGCTGTTATTTGGGCCTTAATCCCTATTCAAGACAGACTCGTTGTAAAATAAATTATTTATTAAAATATGGTTTCATTCAGATTTAAGGGTGCAGACTAAATTTGAATCAAATACTGTGAATATTAAGTGGGTTTTCTATCCCTCACTGCGTGACATGCCATAAGTTCCAAATCACAACATGTAAAAAAATAAATATCACATTATCACGGCCTAATTCTAGTACCCGGAAATATGGATCAAAAGCGAATTAGGAATATGAAGTATGATTATTTTTCATTGTATATTTTGCTCGGTTTCACTGGTGGGGATTGTCTTGTCTTCATTGAGTATTTTTTTTTTGCACTTTTGTCTTTTTTACATTTTATTTGTAAACACTCTGTAAAGATGTACATTTTAGAAAGTTATTCTTGTATGTAATAGGTATGCTTTATCATGGTGTAATGTTAAGTTAAGTACTGTATTTTTTTAACTGCCTAGTTGTTATCGCTCAACATTGTATTGCAGGTAATAAATTGATTAAATTCATCTCTGGACTTGTGGTGTGGATAATTGCTAAATATAAATTTGGTGCAGAGCAGCAGCTGATATCCCTTCACAGCTTATGTTAATCAGGCCGAAACATGGATTGCTTTTTAATTCAAGGAGAATTGTGAGAAATCAAATACAAGCAAAGCAGCCTGAAAATATGACAAAGTTGGAAAGTTAATCATTTTGGAAAGAAAATGAGGGATACAATAATTAATTCTTCACTTATTTCACAGCGTGTTTGGAATCATCGCAGCAGGGATATCACTTTCACGTGGATAACATAACACGGCATTGAGGTTTTTTGAGTGGACCAATTGATTATTACATTTTGATGGATACAAAATATTATACCCATACAATAACTAAGTTAGATTGGTCCTCCATAATAAGGAGTATTTATTCACCAATACTACACGTTTCAGGCCCAATTTTGAAAAGACCCTCATTAATCAATATAACCACTAATCTAACCACGTTTTCTTTTTGTCAAAGTTATATGGTGGTACAAATTGTGACAAGAGTTTCTAAATTACATCAGACATACATTCATAATTACTGTTCTGTGATTCTGTGAGGTAAGAACAGTAATTAATTGATGCGAGAAATTCAAATTTTACAATTGGTAGACCAGTTTATTGAGAGATTAATAAAACAAACAATTCTTCCAAAAACATAAGAATAACAACAACAAAAACTAAATCAAGGGAATTGGATCAAATTAAACTTTAACAATGTAAGAGAAATATATTTATACAAAAAAAAGATATCAACACTAGTCGTATATACAGCAGTTCCACCTAAAAACATGACTTTTGTATCCAAAATCACCAGGAGAGGTCGCACTTGCAGCATATCATGAACTAGCGGGAGCCAAAAGAAAATGGGAAGCATGCTGGGAAATGTAGTTTGCAAGAAATAATGTGACTGCGTTTTTATCTAAATTGACAAAGCAGCTGGTTGAAGTGAAATATTATTACAAATTCATTTTTTTCATCGTTTGAATAATGAAAATCCCGTATATGGCGATTTTTTCTTCTTCTTCTTCTCGAACCTTCTGCTTATTGCCGGTTTACCCATAGTGCACCGCGAGGCTTCCTTTCTTCTTGGTTGTGTCTCAGTACAAGATGTCGATGCTAGATGGTCCGTTAAATGTGCTCGGCCAGAGAACATCTGGCGAATCTGTTCGCACTCAAAATGGTGAGTTATGATGTCCTTTCAGTTGGCGTTCCACCTGCACTTCATGTGCGTCACCAATAGTCGATACGAGAAGTGAATTATTTTACTGCGTGTACCACACGTGTGGCTAATGCTAACGCTAGCTAACTTTTGTGTTAACTTTAAGCCTCTGCTCCGACTCAAGTGAAATTCCGCAAATTACATCAACGCCTGTTATTTTTGAACAATGGGCACCTTCAGCTACCAGCGTTTGTCTCGTCATAACCCCATTTCAGTACTTTACCTTCGCATCGTCATGAATGGATCGCTATGCTAATGGGATAGAAAATTACTGTCATGGTCTGAAGGTGTGGCTCCCAGTAGTAGAGAACCCCACTCAACAAATTGTCAAAACACACAATTAATATAAATGTCTTTACAAATGAAGTCCGATGTATTAAATGATGCACCGGCTCTGTTTAAATGTGCATTGTTTTGTCACGAGGTGCTAGTAGCCGCTTCCCCCTTGTCTTCGCAGTCATGGCCGCATCATCCATCGCCAACATCGTTAAGAGCTCCCTGGGACCAGTTGGCCTTGACAAGATGTTGGTCGACGACATTGGGGTTTGTTTCACGCATAGCAAAATTTAAGGGCCCTTTTCCAAGCAGTACCGTTACATCTCACTGCAGGGTAAACACATTTGTGCATGTTGGATTCATTTGATCAAGTCTACCTGTATTTACCGAGCAGTGACATGTCAATGGCAAAACCTCCGTTACTTCGTATTGTAATCAGATGGCAAATAATGTGGCCTGAGTTGCTCATCTCTCCCATATGCATTGCACGACAGGACGTGACCATCACCAACGATGGAGCGACCATCCTGAAGCTGCTGGAAGTGGAGCACCCAGCCGCCAAGGTCTTGTGTGAACTGGCTGACCTGCAGGACAAGGAGGTCGGAGATGGGACCACGTCTGTGGTGAGTAGGGTCAGCAGTTGCTCCGATATGAGTGTAGTGTTATGCATCCTTTATGCATTAACTGCACTGTAATATCCTGTTATAGTACCATGCACCTGCCTTCTATCACGGATGCTTGGCTATGCTAACAGGAAAGATAAAGTCTCCTTCAGTATCTGAAGGGGTTGAGCAGCCTCATTTCTGCCGCCCCTAATGAAATGATGGTACAATATGAAACTTCTACCTTTTTACCATTTTATTGGTGTTTGAACAAAGTATTCTCAAGTTGGCTATGATGTCCGTGTCTGTCTGTAGTTAAATTTTTACTGTGACATTCTTTTTAGGTAATTCTTGCTGCAGAATTGCTCAAGAGTGCAGACGAGCTGGTGAAGCAGAAGATTCACCCCACTTCAGTCATCAGCGGATACCGTCTGGCTTGCAAGTAATATGCCAACATGCTTTATATGTTTTTGACTAATTCTTCATCAGAGTATTTCAGATAAATAACAGTCACATAAATACTTCATCGCAGTTCCACAGTGAAACTGAATTTTGTATCTAAAGTCAAGTGCACTTGCAGGCCAGCATGACCTAGCAGGAGCCAAAAGAAACGGCAAGGAATGTTGGGAAATGTAGTTTACATTAAATAACAAGAATGCATTTTTATCTAAATTCTCAGGGAAACTAATTGAAGTGAAATATTGTTAAAATTAATGTTTTGCCATCCTTTTATTGGTGTCATGCCCTTTTTATGTGGTAACTTGTGATCCAATACCACCGGTGATCAACTGCTATCCTGTTATAGTACCAAGCACCTGCCTCTATCACGGATGCTTGGCTATGCTAACAGGAAAGAGAAACTGTCCTTCGATATCTGAAGGGGTTGAGCAGCCTCATTTCTGCCGCCCCTAATGAAACGTTGGTACAATTTGAAAATCCTAGCCCTTTTTCTTTTATTGGGGGTTTATTCTCAAGTTTGATGTGTGACAAGTGTGACATTCCTTTAGGTAGATCTTGCTGCAGAATGGATTTGTTAATTATGTTTTGACATGCAAATGGCCTTTTTATCTTTCAGGGAAGCAGTTCGCTACATTAATGAGAATCTCACAATTGGAACCGATGATCTTGGAAAAGAGTGCTTGATCAATGCAGCCAAGACCTCCATGTCCTCCAAAATCATTGGAGTGTATCCTTTATTTCCCCCCCCTGCTCAACGATTTAATTGGGTTGTTTGTGAAGAAAGCCCTTTATACGCCTTAACCCCAAACCCTCAGTGATTCAGAATTCTTTGCTAACATGGTGGTGGAGGCTGCACTCGCCGTGAAGTTCGTGGACAGCAAGGGAGTAGCAAAATATCCCATCAACTCTGTCAACGTCCTGAAGGCGCATGGGCGCAGCCAGAAGGAGAGCTTCTTGGTTAACGGCTATGCAATCAACTGCACTGTTGGATCACAAGGTATGTTCTTTGATAATTCTTAGTTAGCTTGTTGAATTCCAAAACGGGTTACTTGACTGCGTGGAGTGAGGCCTTGTGCATTGCCGCTGCTAAAATTCCCATTAAAATCTGCAGCTGTCTCATCTGATGGCATCAGCAGTGATACACATGGAACGTCTCTTGCCAGACAATTCAATAATGCCACAGATGCAAAATTTGTTTCAATATTTGATACGGTCAAGTACGCTATAAGGGGTTTTAATTAATTATTCATAGGATATTTCTCCTTTTTATTTTTTTAAATATAAGGCATGGTAAAGCGTGTCGTCAATGCAAAGATTGCCTGCCTGGACTTCAGCTTGCAGAAGACCAAGATGAAGATGGGAGTCCAAGTCCTTATTAACGACCCAGAGAAGCTTGACCAGATCAGACAACGGTGCATATTTCTTTCTTTTGCATCGTCACAATTGCATCATTGCACATAATCTCATTTAAATTTGCTGTTATGCTGACGGAATAGCTAATATTGTATTTAAATGTAACTGGGAAAACTGAATCAAATGTGTTGCATTTTGTCGCTCCAGGGAATCTGATATCACAAAGGAGAGGATTCAAAAGATTTTGTCAGCGGGCGCCACGGTTATCCTGACCACCGGGGGCATTGATGACATGTGTCTGAAGTACTTCGTGGATGTAGGAGCCATGGCGGTGAGACGGGTCCTCAAGAAAGACCTAAAACGCATTGCCAAGGCCACAGGAGGTAGGATGGAAGTCCTCTGAAGTTTGTGCCAATTCTTTTTTCAATATGATTTGAATGGTTAAATATCATGTTGACATGTGTGTTCTCTCAGCCACCATCTGCCCCTCTCTGACCAATCTGGAGGGTGAGGAGACATTTGAGGCCACCATGCTTGGCCAGGCAGAGGAGGTTGTGCAAGAGCGCATCTGTGACGACGAGCTCATTCTTGTCAAGAAGTAGGAACTGCAAATATATATGTATACCTCATGTTGACTATAAAGTACTCAACACAATGTCCACTCATTTTTATGTCTGTACAATCGTAGGCTGACGACATTTAATGGTCTGTTCTGGCAGCAGGAGCTGTGATGAATTTGGACAGTAATGTCCCTCCTGTCTGCAGATAGTCTGACTCTAACTGCTGCTTCTGTTCTCCTAATCTTACATCCGCTCAGCACCAAAGCGCGCACATCAGCATCCATCATTTTGCGCGGGGCCAACGACTTCATGTGTGACGAGATGGAGCGCTCCATGCACGATGCTCTCTGTGTGGTCAAGAGGGTTCTGGAGTCAAAGTCTGTAGTGCCAGGTGGTGGCGCTGTGGAGGCCGCGCTGTCAATCTACCTTGAGAATTATGCTACCAGCATGGTGAGACGTATTCTATTGAAAACTTAGTATTTTTACGAGCAATAGTTGGTGTCTGGTGGAG